TTTAAAATATACAGTGTGCTATTTGAATAGGTCTGTGTAGCTTCTGAGATTGTATGTTCTTGTTTATCACTTACTGAAGAGTTTTCCCTTCTTGCCACTACAGCCCATGCAATATGATTTTTAAAGTCAGGTTTAATTGAAGAGAAGTTAAAAAAGAATGTATGTTGGAACAGGAACAATTTTCTTGTATGTTTTCCTCTCAGTCTGCACTGCACAGGATGTTTCTATGTAAGAAATGAATTTGCAATTACTTTTTCAATGTGGTATCTCTTGCATTATATTTTTCAATTTTCTTGTGTTGTTTATTTTCAATTTTTCTTTTATTAATTGTTTTCCAAGAGGCACAAAAGGTCCTTAAGAGGGTCTGTCTCACCCTACAGGGAGTCCTCACAGCATACCTGATCCTCTTTCAGAACATGCAGGTGGCATGAAGAGAAGAGTAATACGTACTTCAGAGTGCTCCTGTTTTATTTAAAGTGCTGTTCTCCTGTGTTTTTATGCATGCTTCCCTTCAAGACTATGTGAGGGTCTTGCAGAAGTTGTGAGGATGATGCAGCCATGCACCGGCATACCTGCCATGCTGCCGGCAAGGACGGGCTACCACGGCTTTGCTGGGGAAGCCACGGCTGATGCTGGGAAAGGGGCTGGGGCTCCCTGGTGAGAGCCCGTCACTTTGGCCAAATGTGTTTTCTCTCAAGCCAAGATTTCTGTTCGAGTTAGTTTTTAAAACCAGAGAAGTTTTGATGCTTAAATGTTTGAAATGGAGTTGATTCTGACAAATACTTGGTTTAAGCTTGTAGGAAAGCTTATATTCCCTTTGGGGGTGTGGTGGGGATAAAAAAAAGTTTATTTGTATTTATTCCCATGTGAGTCAAGGCAAAGACTCTGTGAGGCAATGGGTGCAGCAACAAGCTTTATAACTAAAATAGTTGGCTGAGCAAAGGCATTTCTTGGCACACCACTCCTCCTGTTTTTGGGTCTTTGTTCATGTTTCTCTTCCACCTTGCATTATATACCAAACCTGCCTGTAAACAGTGGTGATGTTAAGTGCCTCCGTATATTTTAGAGGGGCTGAAAATGCCTCCTGAATACTGGCCAGCAGCTGCTTATGTGAACTGCTGATCCCTAGTTCAACAAAATGAAGTGAATCTAGTTCATATGCCCCTTACAACAGGATATCAACCCCCCCTCAAGGAGTTGTATGGCATTTGGCATAGGCTGCAATGCCATTAAAACACACAAAATATTTTTAAAGACTACATATCAATTTACAGTTTACATTCACTTGCCTTTCCTTATGGCTTGCCTCTGTGCTAGTGGGGATCTCCGTGCTGTGACAGTCTGGAAGAAATCTGCACACTGGATGTGACTGCTATGGATTCTGTGTGACAAGCTGGTGCTAAGGAACTGCAGGGTGAACTTGGACTAAAGTGATGAAAGGTTACTGCTTACCACCTGAAATTACTGAGAGTTGAAACATTTTTTTAGTAGCCTTAGGGTGGCTGGAGGTGGCCACATTCCATGTGTGATGAAAGAGAATTATTTCAGAATACTTTCAAATTTGTAATTATTTCAAAATAGACGTATTTTTATCATTGCAATCAGCCAGAAAGAAACAAAAATAGCTATGGCAAAATTTTAGTCACAGCAGAAGAGTAATTGGTGTAGTTTGATTTGCCAGTTGACATCTTCCATCCCTTGTGCCATCTTTGATGTTGGAATAATTGTTTAATAATTAATGCTAAGGTGGAAATTATTAAGCCAAAATGTTATTTTCTCTTGGTAGGATTCTTTACAAGTGGTGTTTTCCTCATTTTGTAAGTTCAGTCTTCTGAATTGAAGCTTGTTTCAAAGTTATCATTTTTATTTTGTTTTTGTTGCTTCTTTCCAATGAACACTGTCTTTGCTGTTCTGCAAAGAGCCCCTCTGAAAGAGTTACTCCTAAGTGGCGCTCAAATGATTTGAGGAGGGAGTTCTAAGTTGCTTGTATATGTTTGTGTCAGTTGATTTACCAAAGCCTAAGAGAGACCTCCACATACCTTTACACTGTGTAAAGCAAACTCAGATTGGGTGAACACCCTTCCTCCCCCTGGAACTTCTGTCTGTGGAAAATCAGACTTTCAATTTGGTGAGTCTTAAATGTGTATGAATTCAAATAATTCAAATCTAGGAGTACGTTATTTCAACTTTTAAAGTTATAAATTACAGTGCATTGGCCAAGCTAAAGTAATGAAGTTGAAACAATTTTCTCAGAATATTTTGGTGAAGATGATAACACTTCCATTAAGTATTTTAGACTAATGAAATAATTTGGTAATTTTTTAACTCTGACTTTTCCCCCCCTCAGGCCTAATTTAACACAGGGCTAGGGGGATCTCCTGTGAGTGGCTAAGCCCTGTTAGAAGTAGTGCTTTCTTCATATCCTCATTTTCATAACTAAGTTTCATTAATGAAAATGTTATAAATAATTCAATTGAAATATGTCAAGACTAAGCACAAGGAAGCTGTGGCCATGTAAACAGAGGGACTCTGAAGCTTTGGATTTATATGCGCCTGAACTGCTACAGACAGCATTCTTGTCCAAGTTTGGCTGTTAAAGCTCTTTTGAACTTTCAGGCAGGAAACACTGTAGAAAGTTGAGTTAAAATGGGACCTACATTAAAAAAAAAAAAAAAAAAGTCGCTAGTCTAAAAGTCAGCCTACCAATAGGCAGTGTTGTCACTGGTATAAACTGTAGAAAATGCAGGATGTAGAAAACATTGTATAAAATACCTGGAAAAATCTGTCCCAAAGCTTGCTATCCTTTTTTTCTACAATAGTGGAGAACATTTCAGAAGAAGCTGTTGCTTGTTCAAGTATGCTATCATGTTAAATGCAAGAAGTACCCGGGTGTTTCTTTTTATGATTTAATGAGTTTTAGGTTAAGTCTTTGATTATAAGGCAATATGGGTTGTTACTTGGCAGATTTAGATTATGGGTCAAATAAATGAGATGTTACTCTGAAGTGTTTCATCCATCAATATGCAGTGGAAACTGCATTTGTATTTGTTGTTTGGCATGTTCGTACCTTCTGGTACAGCCACAACTTCAAGTGGCTGCCATTCTTTACATACCCAGGGATTTTCTTCTGAGGCTGCCCCTCAGTTTGGTTTTAAATGGCTAATTTTAGAAATTAATTTAGATACTCTTGTCTGTAAACTTCCTGCTCTTCTGAAGTTTGTGATCTGATGTGATTTTTTTCTTTTTTTTTTGTCATAATAAATTAGTCATAATATAAAAATGCTTCATTCAAGAAATGAAATTGCATTTATAGCGCGTCTCTTAGATATTACTGTCAGCTCTCTGAGGAAAAGGTAGTTTGGGTAGATGCTGTGGATAACTCTTGACAGGCTGAATGGATACTAAATATGCAGAAAATCAAACCCAGAAATGAACGGTCTTGTAGCAAATAAGTAGGCTAGATTAACTTAAACATAATGAAGTTATTCTATAGTGTGTAACTGAGATGAGCGTTGCATCAGTTTTACCTTGCTTTTTGCTAGGCTCATGCTGGTGATGTGGTTAGACTATTGATTTATTTACATATTGAAGAGACTCAGAGGTGAATACAATGAGAAATCTTAAAATTTGCAACTGTAGATCTGTAGCTCTTTATTTAGTGAGTCATACATGTCAAGTGATGGATGTGTGACTATATAGTCTTGTTATTGCTCTGCATATTTTTAGCTAAATTTTAAGAAGCTGATGTTTTCTTAATGTAGTAATAGATTGGTTCTCTTTATTAGAGAATACAGTATGCTTTGATCTTAGTCGTGGTGTTTGTAGTACTTAATGAGGTAGGAAGAGGGAAGATTTTTGTTTTACAGTGTGGTAATTGGAAAAGAAACAATCTATGGAGATCTTAACCATTGGGTTTTGCTGTATACAAGGTGGAGAACTGCTGGTGTGTTGCATCTTGCATTGCTGGGGCAGCTATTGATCCTTGTATTTAGTCATGACAAGATACAAAAGCTTTTAAACTTTTATTAGTCTGTTTTGTTAATCAAAGTCATCTCTTGTTTTGTTTGTTTGTTTATGGTTAATATTCTGTTTCATTGAGGTGGGTGGTACTGTGGTTTCCTGTATGTCTTGTTGACATAGATCAGTCGCTTTTAAAATAATTTGATACCTACTCACATTATCAGTTTACTTTGTTAGACTGAGACTAAATATTACACTTTAAGGTGGTTTTTTTTTTTTCTTCATTGCCCATCAGGAAATAACTTTTAGTTTTCCTGAATGCTTTGTCAGGCTCTGGATTCTTGTTTTCTCTCTAATCAAAGTACTGAGCGTCCTCAGCCTCTGCGCCTGCTCTGTGCATGCCACATCAAGCACAGCAGAGCTGTCTGAGACGCGAAGTAATGCAGTTGCCAGCAGGAATATGGTATTTGCTAAAGTCTCTAGGAAAGCCTTTTATCTTTGGCAAGTAAGTATTTTACATGAAATTACACATGATGGTAAAGCCACAGATTTAAAGTGTAATAACCCCCTCAAGAAATGTTTTCCTCATTTAAGGTGTATTTTTAGCCACTTCTGCCTGGTTTTAAAGCAAAAAATATTTTTAAAGTTTGCACTGTGATGTCAGTGTATGGGAATGAATGTTTGCTCTTCTTTGGATTTTACTTGTTTATTAATGATGCTTGCCATTGAAGCCTAAAATATCAGCAAAAGGAAAAGCTGCTGCTTTTTGGTGCAATAAATTGTAGTGTAGTACGTTTCTGAATGCGGGGCGAGTGATGGAAACTGTTGAATTAAAAATATGAGTAGGTTTAAATATATTTAAGAATCTACTTACACAATTTCTTTACATTTTTGTGATTTTTGTTCTTGTTTCAGGTGATCTATGCCATCCGCTTACAGAGCACACGGAAATAAATCGGCACTTCGGACTCTCTTGAGCAGCTGAAAGGAGAAACATTGCCCTGAGAATGAAGCAATAAAACATCTCTCTGCAGAACCGTATGATTGAAAACGCGGTCCAGCCCTCCTCTGCTGCTGGACATGCTTTTGTCCTCCTGCCCCGCTCACCTGATGTTGCAGTAATGCAGATGGATCGTAGTAGAGAGGCAGAAATGGAGTTACGGAGATCCTCCAGCCCAGGCAAGCTAAGCAAGAATGACGTGGATGCTGACAAGACCATGTGCCACAGCTGCTGCATCTGCGGTAAAAGTTTCCCTTTTCAGAGCTCCTTGTCGCAGCACATGAGGAAGCACACGGGCGAGAAGCCCTACAAGTGCCCTTACTGTGACCACAGAGCTTCCCAAAAGGGCAACCTGAAGATCCACATCCGTAGTCACAGAACAGGCACTTTAAGTCAGGGGCACGAGGCAGAGATGGGAGAGGCGCAGCTGGGGGAGATGGGTGTTTCGGAGGGCCTCGGCGGGTGCACCAGCCCCACTAAAAGTACGTCCGCCTGCAACAGGATCTTGAACGGTACGGCTCAGGTAGATAGCAGCAAGATCTTGTTGAGAAGCAGCAAGAAGGAGGTCATGGAGGCGGCGCCAGCCGAGGAGGATGGCAAGCTGACTTCTTACCAGTGCACCTTCTGCAAAAACAAATTTGAAAGGAAGAAGGACTTGGAGCAGCACCTGCACCAGGTCCACAAACCGTTCAAGTGCAGGTTGTGTAGCTACATGACCCTGAGGGAGGAGACGCTGTTAAACCACATAGAGAAGGACCATATAACAGCTCAGGTCCCAAATGGGGAGGCCTACACTGAGAACTGCAAGAGCGAGCTGAGCGCGGGCGAGTTTCCATGTGAAGTCTGTGGCCAGGCCTTTAGTCAAACCTGGTTCCTGAAAGCTCACATGAAAAAGCACAGGGGGTCATTTGATCACGGGTGCCACATTTGTGGCAGGAGATTCAAAGAGCCCTGGTTTCTCAAAAACCACATGAAGTCGCACGGCCCCAAGACCGGGAGCAAAAACAAACCGAAACATGATTTGGAGCTCATAGCCACTATCAATGACGTGATACAGGAGGAGACGATTGTGACGGGCCTCTCTCTGTACGAAGTTTGCACCAAGTGTGGAAATCTGTTTACAAATATGGAAAGCCTGAAAGCGCATAACGCTGTTCACTACCGGGCGCAGCGGGGCAGCGCCGGGGATAAAGCCGAGGGCTTAATTGATGGGAGCCTAAGCTCCTCGGTAACAAAGCAGTTTTTCTTGCAGTGTCTCAATCTAAGGCCATCTGTAGGGCTGGATAGAGTTACAAGAGGACAGCCTGGGAAAAGAGTAGCCGAGCTGGATCCGGTCAGTAGCTACCAAGCTTGGCAGCTGGCCACCAAAGGAAAAGTAGTAGAGCCCTCAGAGTATGTGAAGTATGTGGGATGGGACGAGGCCCTGGCGGATGCAGACGTGACTTACGACAAGGATAAGAGAGAGTATATCCTTGTCAACCAGGAGAAGCGCAAGCGAGACCAGGACTCACCCAGCTCTTCCAGCAACCCCAAGAAGAAGAGCTGCACCGGCGGGCGCCCGGAGAAAACCGGCGGCGCCCCGCCGGGGGAGAGCTGCCCACTCGCCCAGGGGGACCTGGACTACCGCCCTGCCTCACGGCAGAGCCGGCGGGCCGCCCAGAACAAGTCCACTGAGTGCTTTGAGTGCGGGAAGATCTTCCGCACCTACCACCAAATGGTCCTGCACTCCCGGGTGCACCGCAGGGAGCGGAGAAGCTGCGGCGAGGGTGGGATGGCTGCCCAGCCCGACCGCTATGGCTCTAGCAGCGAGGAAGGGGACTCGGGGTCCGTCAGCGGGCCCAGCACCCCTGGCTCTGCGTCTGCCCAGGAGGACTCGGTCACCTCCGGCCTGGGGGAGGAGGGGGCCGAGGAGAGCTCGGAGGAGGGAGCGGCCAACCCCTCGCTAGGTAAGATGGCTCCCAGCCTTGCCTTGCTCGCTGTCGCCGGTCCCTGCGTCTCCCAGTGCGGGACACGGCGATGAGGGAAGGGAGAGATGCGTGAAAGCGCCCGAGAGGTTTAAAGTCGGTGTGGATGGGGTCCCGTGCCCACTGAGCGCTGCTGCTTCTCTCGGCATGGCGACTCATGTTATGGGTCTCATGTTATGAGACTCTCGGCATGGTTTCTGGCGCAGGTAATAAAAGTGAGATCAGAGGACGTCTTCATAAGGTGCAGGCAAACTTGTATTTCGGTGGAGGACACCTGAGAAGTATCTTAGTTGCCCATAGGAATGCTATAGGGGAGGGTAGTGTCTTCCCTGGACATCTCGGGGGCTGTTTTTCCCGATTGATGGGCATCCTGTGCACTGCTCTGCCTGTAGCATGCAGGTGTAGCAGGGGCACAGCCTGTGTGGTGTAGCCCTGAAGCACGTAAACTTGTTAATCGCCAGCGTGAGAGGCGTCTCTCTCCTCTTCTCTGCTTTGCTTCCCAAATTGTGTTTATAACTCCAAGGGCTATAATTAATCTCTCTGGATTAAAGCGGTCCTTTGAGCCCAACACTAGTAAATGGAACAAATTATTCTCCAAATAGCAGCAAAGTAAATATTTAAAAGAACACCATTAAGCGCTTTTGTATTTTTTTTTTAATATTTTTGTTGTTCACCATTCTTTGTTTATAATACCCTTTTAGAAATGTGAGATTAACCATTCTTTCCTTACTAGGCTTGTGCTCTTTGTTTGTTTTCTCTTTGGCGAACAATAACGTTTTCCTCTCATTTTCATTCCTTTTGTTGTGAAGACCATAGTTATCTGTAGAGTTAAACTCATTTTCAAGACCATCGCGAATGAAGTAATCTGCACCATTGTGGAAGAGGGTGGGTTTATTCAATTAGCTGTATTCTGTCAGGATTTTATATAATGTTGCTCTTTCTCCTGGCTACAGACCCCGCAGCAGCAAAGCTACATTTTCCAGAATTGTGTATTAAGTTACATGTTTTTCATAAAGTTTTGAAGCAATGTTGGATATTTTTTTTTTTCCATTAAGCTTCTTTTGTGAAAGTCTCATGGTTTTAGGACAAGTAAAGATGGGGCCGATGCTGCTTGGCAATATAACTTTCAAAATGTAAGGCGTAGAGGGAAGAGAGCTCCAAAGGACTGAAACTGTAAAAAATTAAACCCATCTGTTTGTCCTTAAACTTACAAGAATGGTCCTAAACTTGATTTTGCTACAACTTGGATCAAGTCCCCTGTGGACAAATGGGGTGCACACTAGAACAGAAATGTAAATTAAACCAAGAACTCCACTTTTTTTATGCTTTCTTGCCCTTTCCATAAACCACAACTCCAAAAAGTCCTAGCGACAAGCTGACTTAAAATATTTTCACTATGATTACTTGCCCATTTAAAAGACTCAAAATTTGACTTTCCCATCTGTTGTTGGATTTTGGACACTTAAACAAAGTTCCTTATGGGAGCTTACATACTTACTTTGTGTGAAAATCCACCAGCTGCTGCCTGAAACACCTAGTTGACACAAGATGCAGTGATAAAACTGCAGGTTTGTCTGGAGTTAAATGGGGCTGCCATGTTTTACCAGTGTAATGTACAGTGCTCTTATGGAAACTGCTGTGATGGAAAACCATCTCTCCAGAGACAGGCTGAAAACACTGAAACACTTTTTCACATGATGTTCAAATAGGAAAGCTACTGTTACGTGTTCTCCATATTCAGCACTTTATTTCTAACAAGAGGAGCTGTCTCATCTCTGCCTGTCCTGCTTCTTGCCTCCACTCAAGCTTTGAGCCCTTGTTGCAGGAGTGAAAGGTGAGAGTTAAAGTCACACAGCAGTTTCTCTCACAGGAATTAAGGTTACTGGCTTAACCAATGTCACTAGCCAGCACCTGGAAGCTCTTTTCTTTGGGTGCCAAACTGGTCCTTATCTTCTTTAACTGTAAAGCAGCAGCAAACTGATGGGCCTAAATAAAGGCACATCTTGGAAGAGGGATGCGTTTGCATTGATGGGCCGGGAGAGTGGCTGCTGCTGTGTTTTATATTTGCTAATGTCACAGCTGAAGAGCTAATCAAGTATTTAATTGGCTAATAAGAAATGTTTTAATCTTATGACCAAGAGAAATGTTACCCTTGCTTCTTAATAGAGTTTCCTTAAATAAAATCACTGTGTCAATGAAGTGACAAAGATTTTTTGGATTCAAAAGAAAGTTGTTTGTTTTTTTTTTAAAGGAGTTTTCATAGGTCAATGTTCAAGACTTAAGTTTCTCAGTTTTCTCTTTTTGTTATGCAGGTTTACTGACACTGCCCTTACATTGTTTTCTAAGGAACTGGGGTTCTTCTGTCCAGCTTGGCTGTAGGATTAGTTTTACTCTTCTGCAGATCGCTGCTTTAACTCAAGAGGCTTTCTTTCCCTCCTCTGTGAACAGAAACTTAATGTGTACAGAATAAAGGCCGAATTCCACCCTCATGTACGCTCCTGCTAAAATCAGGTGTGGCCTTGAAGCACATTTTGTCCTAGAAGTGCTGCAGTTTGCTATCCTTTACTGCGGCTTTTTGTAGTTATTCTTGCAGGTGAAGCTTTTCTGTTGAGGGCCGTGCTCCAGCCCCATGGTCCGCATCCCTCCCCAGTGGAGGCAGGCAAGCAGCACTCTCTGTTCCTGACCTGCCTCCTACGGTATTATTTTTACTCAGGCTGTGGTCAGGAAAATCTTCTGTTATTCATAAGGTAATTTTATATGGTATCTGTATTTTTTATTATTATCATATCTTTAGTCCCTCCCCGCCCCCCCTCTTTGACGCATTACTGTGTTATCCAGGGTCAGAAAAGGGCCTTGAGACTGCCAAGTATTTGTGGCCTTGACTCAGCTGAAAGTATTTCTTTCTGCATTTAATTCTTAATAATCTGAGTAGTCCTCTTGACACACAGTGTCTTGCAGCAGGGAAGCTGGCAATGTACCTCCGTGGTCACTTAGGGCCAACAGATGTTGGGGCTGAGGGTGATGGGCTGGGAAGTACTGATAGGGCTTATTGGGAGAAGAGCAAGAATTGCACCTTGCATGTGAAATGGGGTTGAGAGCCTCCAGGGTAGCCACTTCTTTGTTCTTAACATATCAGTAATTTGTCTCTGCTGTCTACGTAGAGTAACATAATGATTTCTCAGGCACAGGGGTACTGTTTGCAAACCCAGCTTATCAGCTGCCAGGGGGTAAGCCAGCTGGTTACAAAGTGCTTTCCATCTTGTTGGAAGGAGGGTAAAAATTAGTTTTCTAGAGTTACACACAGTGTACTGTGGGATACCCGTCATACAAAGATACATGCATGAGGTGTATGTGCTTTGTGTAACAGCCATGTGCGAAGAGGTGGCCCAGAGCACATTCACTCTCTTAAGAGCAGACTTTGAATATTTTTTGAGGTCTTCCTGCCCCAGATGAGTCTTCGTTTTTATTTGGCATTCAAGCCACTAGCAAACTGTACCTGAATTTCCACTGAGTTGCATGCAGAGCAGTTTGAACCACCTGTGAGTTGTTGCTCAGCACTTCCCCAACTTGAGGCTTTTTTTTTTTTTTTGATTTTTAAGGAAAAAGAGCCCCAGAGCTATGACTAAGAGAGTAGAGGGGGATTATGCATGTGTTGATGAAAGTGGAAGGGAAAATACTCTGTTTTTTTAATCTTTCAGCTTCTCAACTAAAATGTAGTTTTAGGTATGCCAAAGAAATAATTCAGCCTGCGTGCATTCAGTGGTTAGTATTTTTAGGGCTCAATGTGGGCCCCCTCATTGTCATGGTGTGTTTAGCAGTGAAGGTGTTAGTTTGTTAGGTTGGGCACTATGAACTATTTCAGTCCTGAAACGAAGGGGGAAGTATAATTTTTGAGGCTGTGACTGCTGCTGGCAGGTGGGAAGATGAAGAAAAGAAGTGAAAACTATTTAAATACCACTTGGCGCTCAGCAAACACATAGTAAAAGCACAGGCCTGTGTTGCCCCAGTCAGTAAGGGAGTGCCATAAAGGTACTTCTTTTTGGATCTAAGCACCAGATGGGGCAGGAAGTAAATGTTAAAAGTAATCTAGGAAGGGAGGGGAGAGAAGAGAAAAAGAAAAGGAGTGTTTTATAGGAATAAAGGAGAGGAATGCTGCTTCTAGCCTGAACTCTCAGGAAAAGAGAGGGTGTTGCTTCTTGGAATGCTGCTTCCAGTGTCAGCCATCTCATCCATTTTGTTTCCTTTATCTCCTGCCTCTTCTTTCCCTTTTCTTTTTTTCCTTTTGTCAGACTCCTCTGGATTTTTGAAATGCTTTAAGGAGAGACTGATTCACTCTTACTCCACACATGCTGTTTTTATTACGCTGGCTAATTCAGGAAGGGGCTGACTGTGAGTGAGAACTGTTGCGCTAGGCCCTGTACGAGCACAGCTTTAGGCCCAAGGAGCTCGTACTCTGACTAGATGAGGTGGACACAAGTTGCTAGACTGCACAGAATATTTAAAAAAACCCAAACCAGCCAGACGATAAACACAAAATGGTGGTGCGTGGCTGCATTTGGTTTGTGTCGGGAATTCCCGGTGGTATGGTGGGAGTTGCTCAGATGAGCTCCGTGAAGGGGCGAGACAAGATGGGAGTAGGATGTAGGGAGGAGAGCAAGGGGAATGGGGGAAGGCAGGGAGGAGGAGCAGGACCTCGGTGAAGGGAGCTGTGCCGTGCCATGAGGCTTCGAAGAGGAGGGCAGGCTGAAAAGAGGTGTGGGATGGCGTTGGGGTTCAAACCCTCCAAGGCAGTGCCAGGGTGCCGGGTGCCTTGCGCTGAAGGCGTGAGGGCTCACGACACCCCGCACTGAGAGGTGGATAACTGCAAGAGGATTTCCATGTGAAAACCAGAAGGTCTGGAGCAGTCGCATGAGTGGGAGACAGCAGCAGGAGCTCGCCTTGTCCATACCGGCTAGTGGGCCCACCCCCTTGTTGTTATCAGT